TACTATGAAATTGATGTGTATAAAATCCAAGCTTTCAGATAAACATGGACGTCTTATTTTCAAAATTTCTTCCAAATACTAAAACCTAAAATTTAATTGGGTACTCTCATGACATACGAAGGAAAGGAAACACGACTTCAATATTCTTTTCTTACCTTTTTCGTTAATCTTTGGTCGACAAAACCATCCCTCCAGAATCCACTCCCCATTCCTAGTCCGCAGAACGTAACCCCGCTGACCCTCCTCCTCTGTTAATCGCAACTATGCAATATTCTCATCTCCATTAGAGGGGAAGACAACGAGTTTCAATAGATGCAACTACAAGAGTTAAAGAACTGGTTTGATGAAGTGAATACCAGGTTGTTGACTTTTATAACTTGTCTTATTCTGGAGAATGAGTTTGCTGCTTTTAACAAGGATAAGATGGTAACCCTTACTCGATTTTATCCTAATGAGTTACGGTCACCTTTGTAAATCTTTTTTTCAACGGGACTTTGAGAATTATTATCATTGTGTTAAGAGTAACGTGTTATTATGTGGATTAAAAGTATTTGATGAATTGGCTTAGTTGATGGTGGAGATCAAAGTGTATGATTCATACCCATAGCCGGTCTATTTGATTTTCAAACTTTTATTGATTTTACCGGTTGCAACTACACGTATTGAAAGAACTTTTTCAGCTTTGGGTTACATCGAGAACAAACTTTAGAATAGAATATGCGATCAGTTTGTGAATGATTGTCTAGTATGATATACTGAAAGATATTTGTTGAGCATAATAGATACCGAGTGTGTTTTATAATTTATTCCGTTTTTGACGTCATTGTATTTTGTAGTAACTTGTACTAGTCGGATATTTTCTTATATGTAAAAAATGATTAAAAAAAAAGAGAGGATATTTTCTTATATAAGAAAATTATATTTTTAATTATTATTTTTAACATAATTTTGGAATATTACACGCGCCACTGATTGTAAGTTTGTAACCCAAATACATTCTTTTTGGATGAATAACCCATATACATTAACTAGGACTTGTTCACTGTGCCAAATTGGCATGCAGACGTTTTAAATCGTGTACCAATTGAAAACAGGAAATAAAGGGGTTGAGTTAAGATCAAAACTCAAAAGTTTCACCCATGTTTGTATTCTCTTCGTAATCTGATGGATTTGCAAAAGGAAAGGAAAATTGTCAAAAGAACAGATCTGAATATCTGATACATCAGATCAGAGACACGGCCCAGGGGCCAGGACAAACGAAGAGGATGTGTTGTTTTGGCCCAGTCATTGAAGGCTTATGTTCTCCTCTTCTGGATCCATAACTGTAAACTCCAATGCCATATCTCATCTGAGGCCCGTTGCTCAACGGGCCATTTCAGGCCTAAAAATAATAATCCATTGGAAAAGTACCACCTCCTTCTTGTTTGCCATCAGAATTGGGCTGCTTTCATGGCGAAGCACAATCTAGAAATAGATAAAGAATTCATATATTTTACTTTAATTATTTGTCGCCCATTTTGGTTGGCTTCATCTATGCATGGTAAGTGGTAACTAGGAGTGGAAATCGGTATGGTATCGGTATCCCAATCTCGAATATCGATATCTCGAATATCGAATTATACTCGAAAGTCAATCCCAATCTCAATCCCTAAATAATTTCAGTATCCCAATCTCAATCCCTAAATATTCCGGTATCCCAATCGGTACTTCGGTATTCCAATCGGTATTATCGAATACGAAATTAATTATATTTGAAATAAATAATTAAATATATAAATTATATTTGATTGTTTAATTTAGGGCAAAAAGACTAAGCAAAGAGTTTTGAGTTTTCCTAGAGCTAGGATATGGATAAGGAGAATGAAGGAGATGTGACATCTCAAGTTTTTATCATTAGTAATCTTTAATTTGATGAATTGAAGGCTGAGAGTCGACTAATACAAGTGTTTGCTTTTTGGTGTTATGAAAATAACAAGTTATTAGGAGAGATGAGAGTGACTTAAATTGTAAAGTCAAAATTGAGTTGGATGTGGAGTTTTGACTTGTGAAACAATGATGAAATGATATATGTATAATTAAATTATACTCTTGGTGGTTGAGGATTGTGTAGTAGTGAATGAGAGAGTCTAGTTGACAGGATAAAATACACATTAGCTTATATTTCGGTATTGATCGGTATTTCGGTATATACCGATCCCAATCCCGTAATCCCTAATACCGAATTACAATTTAAATTCAATCCCAATCCCAATCCCAATCCCAATCCCAAGAAATAATATGTGTATTCGGTAATATCAAATATAGACAAATTCGGTACGGTATTCTGTATATCCCAAATACCGGTACCAAACTTCCAGGCCTAGTGGTAACAACGAATATATGCGGCTCGATGTCCAGTTTGGCTAGGTGAAGGTCAAAGCGCCCTTATGGGCCTTGAGTTGAACGTTTTCTTATAATTTTACTAGTTTATAACCCGGTCGGTTGGCAGGAGATAACTGAGCTCAAAGTTCGTAAATTGTAATAAACATACTAATGTCTTGAGCGTGTATGCATTGGTGGGGTGAGCAACGTCTCATAAGCAAGGAAAATGCAATAAACCTGTCAAATTTCTATTTAGCGGTGAACTATCCTGTTGTTCTCGATTTTAATCAAACTCAACCGGAAGGTGGGTGATCATTATAATGCTCATAAAAGAACTACCTTTTGACCCAGTCCGTTGATCGGATTACTTTAACTTACCTATTCGTGGAATGGGAGAGAGTTAAACCAATAGTCATTTATATTAGTAAAGAAAAATTAGACTACAAACCAATTGTTTTGGTGAGGCGGTTTTCCGATTGAACCGATCAATCCAATTTTGACAATCGTGGAAGAGCTGCAATTACCAAACAGTATTTCTAAAATCGTGCAAGGATGAACAATTTGAATGTCACCACTACAATTATACAATATTGCTACAGAATGCAAACCACAAAACCTGGATCATTCACCCAACGACTTCTACTGTAATCCCAAGGAGGAAAAAAATCATGATCGATAGAAACCCACTTCTCAACTACTTCGTCATTACATTTATGAGGACTACTAAACCTATTACCATAACAACTATAATAATAATAATAAATAATAATAACAACGAATTTGTATAGAAAACAATAACTAAGGGCTGCAAATTAGACAACAGCTAACCATGGGAGATCATCAACGGAAAAATCAAAATCAAACCATTTTGTCTCCTGATCCTATACTTGACCGTCTATCCTTTACATCCGTTAAACCTCCCTTTGCGTAAAGGACATCAGGGCATCTATGAACACACACAGATACAACATGTATAATCATCTCCACACGTCCTTGGCCATCATTTGAATTTTTCTAACTTCAACTGTCGTCTCCTCACACCATCATCAAATACTTCATTAGCAGTTTCCTTCCACCATCGAAAATCAACTTACGCCTTAGCCTTTGAAAAATCATACCACATGACACAATCAATATCATATATGTTCCATCTTGATCTCCTTTATCTTTCTACTAAACAAATTGCAGTACCCAAACCCATTTCGCTTAATATGTCTTCCAATCTGCTTCTTTGTCTTCTTTATTGCAGCAAGTTCTTCAATGGTTCACCTGCACCATGAAAAGGATATGGTGCACTTATCGACAGCCTGAAGCCTGAAATCCTGGACAAAACCTGTATCATCCCTCAAACCATCAATCAAGGGAGGACCCACCTTTGCCCAAGGTGTGTCGTCGACACACCTTCAATAATTTTAACTGACACACCTTATTACATTAAAAAAAATGTTGTCATAATATTATTAAAATATATAACTATAAGAGTTATCGGACTTCAGATTCGGTAGTTAATTAGTTGGTTGCATAAGAGTAAAAATTAATTGACTACTTAGTACGTAGTGAGTATTTAGAAAGATAGCTATCCACATAAAGACAACATCGATAATTTGAATGAGAATTAAATTGATTAATAAGCTGGTTGAGTCAAATAATTAGATAGTGAATTCCAAGCTGTCTTTCCCCATTGCTTCTTTCATAGAATTTTTCTTTAAGTTAATTTTCAATTTACTTTCTAGTTTAGTTATTTATTTCCACGTTAACACATGTAGCCACCCTTCAATCGTCGGCGTTGAGCCAACGACATCCTCATGCTCATTAAAATTTCCACGTTGACACATGTGGCCACCCTTCGAGCTTCTCATACCAAATTTCTCATCTTAAATTAGTATTGACTTTACCTCTTGCAACTGCAAGCTACAAAATGACATTTTCCATATGAGTTTAATCAAGAACAATCTTTGGTATAAGTTGAGGACCAGTTTATGAATAACTGTTTAATTTTTTACATACAAAATACTTGATTTGCAACCTAATGGACAAATGTAACTAAGAAATTTTTCAAAATATGAAAAGTCGTCGTGGTTCACTGTAAGAAATAATAAAATTGGTGAAATTTATAAATAAAATTTGTCTGTTTATTTTAAATTAATTAATGTTAATTAATTTGTTTTTAATCTAATTTTATTGGTCGGCACACCTATTCCAAAATCCTGGGTCTGCCACTGCCATCAATCCCTCTCATTCCAACACCCGAGGAACCACTTTCACCTGCACCATGAAAATGATAATGTTGCTCTTACAAACACTTTGAAATGTGAAACTTACGAGGAATTTTACAATGTTATATAGTATTGGTGCTATAGGTTTTTTGCCTTTATGGTACAACTTAAAATTGTACATTTATGTTATGGTACAATTTCAGATTGTACCTATACTGTTTGTACAAATTCTTTTATGGTACAACTTAAACTTGTACCTTTATGTGATGGTACAACTTCAAGTTGTAAAGTTGTACCATAACATAATGGTACAAATTCTTTTATGGTACAATCTAAACTTATACATTTCATGTTATGGTACAACTTTAAGTTGTACATTAAAGCACCAATACTATATATCATAGTAGAAATGCTCGAAACTTACAATGGTAATCGCAGACCAATTAAGCAAGAAAAAAGCTTAGAGAAAGAGTCAATTAACTGGACAAATCTTGTTGTAAAATGCATATTGTTTAGATCCAATAACTCTTATCAATTTCCTCTGGCTTGCAGCAAGGGAGCGACTCCTCACCAACACCGAACGTTACAGAAGACATCTATCCACCACAAACATCTTCCCCCAGTGCAAAGCGGCCCCTGAAACAGTCTTGCATGTGTTGCGAGATTGTGAGTTTTCCAGGTTAACTTGGATGCAGTTCATACAGCCTTCTGACCACCAGCGATTTTTCAGACCCCATTTGCAGGATTGGATTCTCTACCAGGTTCGACAGGAACCCACTAGCCTTGAGTTCGGCATTATCTGCTGGTCCCTATGGCGGACCAGGAATGATCGAGTCTTTGCAGGCAAGATCACGACCAGTGCAGCCTTTATACAGCGCGTCTGGGCATGGATAAATGTCGTGCGGAATGCCTTGGACAAAGACAGGTTAATCCATCAGCCTAGTCTGCCCATGAGAACGGAGGTGGAGATCTCTTGGAAGCCGCCACCTCCCGAGTGGGTCACTCTCAACTCTAACGGCTCAGTCCACATTTCTTCAGGCCATGCAGCTGCGGGTGGCCTGATTCGAGATCCCACAGGACGCTGCCTTGCAGCGTATGCGATTAACCTGGGTAGCTGCTCTATTACCCGGGCTGAGCTGAGAGGCGCTGTAGAGGGGCTGCAGGTGGCTTGGGACACAGGTTTCAGACGTGTCAGAGTGGAGCTTGATTCTCTCTGTGCGGTTCAACTCCTCAATAGCTTGGACTCGCCAGATCATCAGCAGGCAGCCATTATCCAGAGATTTAAAGAGCTGCTCATTCATCAATGGGAAGTTGTTGTTTCCCACATTTTTAGAGAAGGAAATAAGTGTGCCGATCATCTTGCTAGTCGTGGGCACCTGCTGCCCCTTGGTTACCACTCCATTCCTTGCTCTGACCCTACTTTGTGTAATTTCATTATGTACGATTGTCAGGGGCTCTCTGAACCCCGTTTGGTTTTGAATGAAGGCTGAGATGCACTGCATCCATTTATAAAAAAAAAAACTCTAATCAATTAGTTCCCTTTTTGTTACCTGTGATTCTTCCTAAATAAATGAATCATGAACCAAACTGAGTATAACTCACAAATAAAAGAACATAGGAATGAAACAAATTGCTTTCACATTTTACTCTGCTAATTCCATTTCAAAGAATGTACATCAAACAATTGAAACAAATTGAAACCAAAGAATTCCTGAAGGGACTAACTAAAATTTGATCTAAAGAAATCAATGACTCCACCAAAATAATGAGCAGGAGTCTGGAATTTGTAGAAATTGTAATGTGAAGCCTTTGGGAGCCGAAAACAACTGTTTTTCTTCTATTTGAGTTATTGGATACATGATTGACTCTGCATATTTGCTAATTTGCATGGATTTTGAATGTCAAAACACGGTTAACTCTTCATAAACCTTTGCTCCGATTAGTTAAAATGTGAACCTTTAGAATGTAAATTGGGGAATGCTGTTACCTTTGAATTTTGAAGCGAGTCTCTAATTCTTTGGACCAAAATTTTTTACTCTCTTCCATTACTTATACTTTTGCAATCTCACAGTGAAGGGGCACCAACAACATTTCCATGCAAATTAGCAAAAGTTCACGTTTTACAGGCATTGTGGAGACTTTGAAGCATCTTTTATTCGAATGCAGTTGGGTGGCTCAGAATTGGAATCAAACTCCATTAGCCAAGTTCTCGCTATGGTTGATGGTTTATCTTATAAAGAGTGGTTTCTGAAAATTTTGAAAGAAGCCTCTGAGGTAGGCTGTGGGCGAATCTGTTCACTATTGTGGTACTTCTAGGAAGAGAGGAACACTTTCCTCCACAACAATCCTATGATGCAGGAGTGGGAGGCATTTTCAAAAGCAGAAAGCTTCATTCAAGGGAGAGACAACGATAGCAGAAGGAAGAAGGATCGCAAGCAATGCCATTGGAAGAAACCTCCTATTGGAATCCTAAAATTGAACTCTGACACTGGCAATAAAAGTAAAGGTGAGAGAGGTTTAGGTTTTATTGTACGTGATTGGAATGGTGATCTTGTGTTAGTAGGATCAAAGGTTGAAGATGAGAAGTGGACTTAAGATTTAGGAAGAAGCAAGAAGTCTCTTGTTTGTTCTTAAGTAATAGCTGAGATGCATCTGTGCCCTTTAATAGTTGAAGCAGACTGTAGGAGGATCATAAACATTATCAAGAAGAACATGCAGGGTTGAACTGAAGTTTTCAATATATGTGATGACATAAGGTGATGTGGAGCTGAAATGGAGGTTTGGGACGGGTATTTTGATTATAGAGAGTCAAACAACGTAGCGCATTTGTTAGCGCACTTGTTTCCTCCTTCCTGTTGATCAATCGGAAATAGCTATGAAATAAACTGACACCGAATTTACGTGGTATCCCTAGAGTGATCCAAGACTAATCCACGGAAGAGCTCTGAATGCTCTTCTAGCTAATGATATTATTAGAATGTCTTGTGTGAAACCCTCATGCCACACTCGGCTATACATATACAAGAGAAGGGAAGACGATGGCCGAACCCTAGGATCACCAGCCACTAACGTCGTGGTGTCCATGCATAGGTTTCATGGGCTCACGTAGATGGGTAAAACTATTGGCCGAACCCAATACATAACCCGCTAACAGCCTCCCCCAAATTGATGCTGACCACAAAGCATCAATTTGCTCAAAAGATACCAATGACAGCTGGTGGAGAAAGCCTTCATGAAAATATCTACAATCTGATCCTCCGTGCGAACATAATGAAGAGTAATCGTGCCATCACCAACTAGATCACGAATGTAGTGGAAATGAATCTCAATGTGCTTGGTGTGATCATGAAGAACAGGGTTGACAACAATCTGGACAACGCTCGTGTTATCCACAAATCGATCCATAGGGAGAGGACAGAGGACACCCATACCACGAAGGAGACGAGGTAGCCAAAGAAGCTCAAAAGGCATCGCGCGATATTCTGCCTCAGTAGAGGACTTGGGTACCTTATCCTGCTTCTTACAACGCCAAGAAATAAATGCTGAACCAAATTGAATGGCCCACACAGTAGTAGAACGACGAGTATTAACACAACCAACAAAGTCGGGGTCAGAATAAGCACGCAGAGCAAAAACACCAGAGGAAGGAAAGAACATACCAACATCGCGCGTGCACTGAAGATACCACAGTATACGATGAACAACAGCCAAATGATTCGTGCAGGGAGATGCCATGAACTGACTAACAACCTGAACATGATAAGAGATGTCGGGACGAGTAGCAGCAAGATATATGAGACTCCCAACAATACTTTGATAGGTGGCAGCGAAGAGGAGAACCAGAGGTACGACTGAGGTGAAGGTTGGGCTCCATCGGCGTGGAGACAGGCTTGCAGTCGTGAAACTGAATGTCAGACAGCAAATCAGATATGTACTTACGTTGACTCAAGAGGAGTCCCTTGTCATTTCGAGTAACCTCAAGACCAAGAAAATAAGATAGATCGCCAAGGTCCTTAAGATTAAAAGCCGCACTAAGAACATCCTTGAGACTCTGAATCCCGACAGGATCGGAACCGGTGATAACCATATCATCAACATAAAGCAAAAGAGCTATCAGGCCAGATGAAGTCTTCCGGTTGAAGAGAGACGGATCAATCAAACTCTGATGATAACCGAGAGCAGTAATAGTAGCCTGAAATTTCTCGAACCAGGCACAAGGTTCCTATTTAAGACCATATAAAGACCGATTGAGACGGAAAACCTGATCTGCAGTACCAAGAGAATACTTGGGTGGACGTTCCATGTAAATGACTTCATCCAAGTCATCGTGAAGAAAAGCGTTCTTCACATCCAGCTGATACAGTGGCCAATGCTGGAGAGAAGCGGCGACCAAGAGAGTGCGAATGATAGACATATTGGCCACCGAGGCGCATGTCTCACTAAATCAACGCCTAGTTCCTGTGTAAAACCTTGGGCAACTAAATGGGCCTTATGGCTATCAATCGTACCATCAGGATTCATCTTTATCGTGTACACCCAACGGCAGCCAACAACAGAAGTAGATGGAAGAGAACGAGGAACTAGAGTCCAAGTATTGTTAGCATGCAAAGCATCTAACTCTTTCTTCATTGCATACCCAAACCGGGTCCCCCTAAGCTTGCTTGAAACGAGTAGGAACAAGAAAGGCATTCACCCCATGAGCAACATAATCATTAAATCTAGGTGGTGGAATACCTTCGGTGGATCGAGTGGAGTGACAGACTACATGAGCTAGCGGCGTAGATGATGACGGTACATGGGGTGATGTCGGCGGAGTGGAGGAAGAGCTGGAGGCCGAAGTAGATGCAGTCGCAGATGATGTAGCAAGATCCGAGGAGCTGGATGTGGATGCAGTGTGGGGAGTCGACGGGGATGTGAATGATCTGGATGTAATTCCGCTATGGGAAGATAGATCGGGGTCAGGAGCATCAGGAGGCACAGTCGGGGAGAAATAAGTACCATCAATATCATCATGACTAAAAACAGGTAATGGCAATGTCGATGGAAGGAAGCTAGGAGAGGAGGAGGATTCGGTGTAGAACATAAGATTTTCAAAGAATACAACGGTTGTAGCAATGCGCATACGCTGAGAAGTGGGATCAAGACATAAATAGCCCTTATGCACATCACTATAACCAAGAAAGACACACCGAACGGTTTTAGAAGACAATTTATTACGTTCGCGCTTAGGAAGAAGAACAAAACAGAGCGAACCAAAAATACAAAGACGACAGTAGTCAGGATGTTTGAAGTACAAGGCATAGTAAGGACTGGTGTTTTGCAGGATAGGAGTGACTTGATAATTAATAAGACAGACAGCTGTAGCTACTGCTTCAGGCCAAAAACGACTAGGAACGTTTGAAGCAAGAAGAAGAGAACAAGTAAGATCCAAAACATGACGATTTTAGCGTTCAACTAGGTCGTTTTGTTGGGAAACCCCCAGACAAGATTTTTTACTAAGGATTCTTAGAGAACGATAAACCTCATGCAAAGGAAAGGAACTGAATTCACCACCAGGATCAGATCTCACTATTTTCACAGGTCGATCAAATTGAGTATGTATCATTTTCAGAAATTCCGTTGCTACAGATCAAAGCTCCGATTTTTTACGCAGGAAATAGACCCAAGTGAAGCGAGTAGCATGATCAATAAACAGGGAAAAATAACTGAAACCATGTCGAGAAATAACAGAAGATGGTCCCCACAGATGAGTATGAATAACATGAAAAGGTTGATCAATGATAGTGGTACTAGAGGGAAATGACCGACTAATGGTTTTTGCTTCTACACAACTCGTGCATGAATGTTTTGCAGGATTATTCTTAACAAGCAAAGACTGTCTAAACATCATAGCTAAACGAATCGAATGAGGATGTCCTAAACGGGAGTGTCAAAGATCCCAAACATCATTGGACTAACTTGAAAAACAAGTAAGTAAAGACGTAGGACTACAGACCTATCACGATGATTACTGACGGACAACGATGATGAAGACCCTCCAAGCTCCTCTAGGTGAAAGATTCTTCCCCGTTTACTCCCCTTTCCGATCTGCCTCCCCGTCTTCAAGTCCTGAATAACACAACCAGACGGTGCAAACAAACAGAACAGCCCGCATTGGTAAGTTGACCCACATAGACTAAATTGCGAACAAGTTGTGGAATGTGGAGAGTATGAGGTAAACTAAGTTGAGAATCATTAATCATAAATACACCACGAACTTGAAATTGATTACCATTGGCAACCCGCAAAGACAGATTATGAACAGGCAGTACATTCGTTAAGCAACTAGAGTCACTCGTCATGTGGTTGAAAGATGCAGAACCAAGGATCCAAGGAGATGTCTTACCCGTGGTTCCACGAAGAGTTGCAAAGACGACATTTATGGCAGTTGGGAGATATTTCTGGAGTGATGCATTGGCCATGTGTTCAACATCTTGGGCGGACAGGCCACTGCCGCTACTACTGCTGCTTGCATCGGTCAGGTACACAGGTCGAGTTTGGCGATCCGTGGCAGCTGCTGGTTTATCAAAGGGCCTAGAAGAAGAAGACCCTGAAAAGGATCCAGGTACAGATGGGTTTCAATT